CTGCTTGTATTTCTTTTTCCATGATCTGCCACAGGTGAGCCAGTGCTCACATTCTGTCTCTCTCTGGAGGTGCCCATCTCACATGGATTTTAAGCTCCTTGGATACTCTGTAATCTCAGCCCTCTGATGGATTCAAGAATAGTTATGCTTTTGTATATTATTTGTCTTTTTCTTATTAGGGTGCAAGCAACACTCTGTCCAGCTTTCTTGATCTTAGGTTAGTCTCCATGTGCTTTCTGGTATGTTTTTCAAATCTGAGTCTAATCAATGTCTCTTCATTGTTGCCCCATAATATTTTGTAAACAGTGCTGATAGAATTTTGTCACGATCTCTTCAGAGATAAATTTTATAATTAGCAAAAAATAATTTTGTAAAGATAGCTTATGGACTATTCTACGCTCAAAAAGCAGTATAAATTCTGTTTTATAAAATTACTCTGTTGCTGCTAATAAATAGGAATACTAATCCTATCTAATAATAGACAAACATGGTAATTAACTGTAGCTCCGACACGCTTCCCATTGGCTAATCAGGGCGATATGCAAATTAACTGCCAACCAAGATGGCGGCCAGCAGCCAGGCAGCTGAAGCGAACAGGAGGCTTGCTTGCTTCAGTGATGGAGGAAGCCAAGGTTCCCCGCCTGCCGCTGTAGGCCTCTGAGCTGTACTCTAAGAAACAGTGGTGCAATTATAGAAACTAAAAAAACCAGAAACCTGCTTTCAGCCAGCTGGGCCTCAGAGCTGGAGTTGCAACAGTGTTTCAATTATAGAAGCCAAACAACCCCTGGTACCTGCTTTCAGCAGCGGTCTCAGAGCTGGAGCCGAGCCTCAGAGCTAAAGCCGGCTCTCAGTTCCAGTGACAGCCATAGAAGGTAAATAAATCCCAGAATAAAAAGAAAAAAAGAAAAGAAAAAAAAAGGAGAGGTTGGGAGCTTCAGTCACCCGCCAGCCTGAAAACGGCTCTCAGCCTCTCACCCAGACTGGCCAGGCACCCCAGTGGGGACCCCCACCCTGAAGGGGTGTGACCAGCTGCAAATAGCCATCACCCCCTCATCCAGGCTGGCCAGACACCCATGCGGGACCCTCACCCTGATCTGGGACACCCTTCAGTGCAAACTAGCCGACCCCTATCCGTGCACCAGGCCTCTGTCCTATATAGTAAAAGGGTAATATGCAAACTGACCCTAACAGCAGGACTGGGAATGACTGGCCACTATGACACACACTGACCACCAGGGGGCAGACGCTCAATGCAGGAGCTGCCCTCTGGTGGTCAGGGCACTCTCACATGGGAGGAGCTCTGCTCAGCCACGAGCCAGGCTGACGACTGCCAGTACAGCGGTGGTGGTGGGAGCCTCTCCTGCCTCCTCAGCAGCGCTAAGGATGTCCGACTGCAGTTTAGGCCTGCTCCCTGCTGGCAAGTGGACATCCCCCGAGGGCTGCCGGGCTGCCAGAGGGATGTCTGATTGCCATCTTAGGCCCAATCCCCCGGGGTTCGGGCCTAAGCCAGCAGGTGGTCATCCCCTGAGGGGTCCCAGACTGCAAGAGGGCACAGGCCGGGCTGAGGGACCCCCCCTCCCCCTCGAGTGCACAAATTTTTGTGCACTGGGCCTCTAGTAATATGATAAATAGCAGTAGCTCAAATTTATTATGTTCATTATGTGACAGGCATTATGTTAAGTACATGTAGCATTGTCTCTGATGTGTTTACCTCCCCCACTCCAAGGAGGCAGCTTGTTGTTGGTAATTGGGGTGATTGTACAGAGTATGAGCAGGTGTGACTCATCTCAACTCAGCTTCATTTGTCCTTCACAACTCTTGCTAGTGACACTTTAAACCCAAGATAGAGTCTCACTGGATTTGAGAAACTTAATTCTTTCTGTGCCATAGTCCTTTTATACTGAAAGGTTGTGTCATCATTCAGGAAGAATTTATATGAACAAGTGATGCCCTTAATTTGACATACATCTAACCCAGCGGTCGCCAACCTTTTGGACCTCACGGACCATCAGTGGTCCATGGACCACCAGTTGGTGACCACTGCTCCAAATATTTCCTTAAACCAGTGGTTGCCAACCTTTCGGACCTCACAGCCCACCAGTGTTCTGTGCACCACTGGTTGGCGACTGCTGATCTAGCCTCTCTTGGCTCTTGAGTCGGAAAGCAGAACCAGAATCTTCCCTGGCACCGCCCCCCCCCCTTTATTTTTTTCTGCAGCTTTCCAGCAGTCTTAGGAGCCTGCTTTACCACACTCTGTTTACCGTATTTGCCGGCGTATAAGACGACTGGGCGTATAAGACGACCCCCTAACATTTCCACTCAAAATACAGAGTTTGTTATATACTCGCCGTATAAGACTACCCCCTCTTCCGCACACCTTCCACACACCAAATAAAAGGTAAAACAATATCAGATTTGATTTTAACATTTTAATTTATATTCAAATGCTTATGACATGCAGGAAAACTGTCACAAGGCTGTATGTAATCAAACATATACATAAAACAGTGCAAGTTTATTACCGGTAAACATACCGGTAATCCACTAAAGAAAAAACACTCTATAGACTGGTACCGTAGATGCTTCTCAGGAACACAGGCAAGCAGCCCACAACCTAGAGGGACTGTCAATGATAGAAGTAAGATAACAAATAG